AGAAAAAAAATATAGAGGGAATGTTGGAACCAGCAGATGGCGTAATGGCTATGTCACTGGTCTTCCATGTAGTCTACCATGGTTTGAGTCCTGGACCTGGTGGCTTAAACTCACGCCGGGCGCATGTGTACATGCCTAGGACCCCAAGAAGAGAATGGAGGAGAAGGGATTGCAGTGTGGCCATCCCCCCTGGGGGGTGATTTCTCACTTTCTGTCTGTCTCTCTGTCTTTCTGGCGAGCACATGCACCCTATAGTAAAATCATCCCCCCCCTTAATTGTCCTTTCTTCCCCACCTGCTATAGTTTCAATGTGTCCCCTTCAAAATCCAGATGTTGCTGACGTGATAATATTAAGTGGAAACTTTGGGCCAGCCTATGGTGTGGTGGTTAGGGCAAAAGATCCCACATGGCTAACTATGTGGTTCAAGTCCTGGACCCAGCAGCTTGAAAAACACAATGGGCACCTGTGAATGAGTGCCTAAAATCCCAAAAAGAGAAATAGATAAGAAAGGACTGTGGTGCGACCATTCGCCATGAGGGTTCTTCTCACTTTCCCTCTCATACACTCTCTCTCTCTGGCAAGTGCACGTGCCTGCTGACAAAAATTTTAAAAAGAGGGACGAGGAGATGGTCTAACAGCTACATCATAGACTCCCACATAGTCGACTGTGGTACCAGTCCTGGATCTGGCAGCTTAAAACTCACACCAGGTGCCTGTGCTTGCATGCCCAAAATCCCAAGAAGAGAATGGAGGAAAAAGGATTGCAGCATGGCCAATAACCTGGGGGGTGATTTCTCACTTTCTGTCTCACTGGCGAGCGCATGCATCCTATAGCAAAAATCTCTCTTACAAAAATAAAATTAAAAAGAAAAATTAAAAAGAAAGAAGAAAAAGAAGTAGAGCCTTTAGGAGGTGATTAGGACCTGATGGCTCATGGCTGGGATTAAGGTCCTTATGAAAGGCCCTTGGGCCTTCTTCTCTGTGAGGACACAGCATACATCACCTGCAGAGGATGCATTAAACAAGGTGCCATCATGGAAGTAAAGAACAGACCTCACCAAACTACTAAACCTGCCAGTACCTTGATCTTGGACTTCTCAGATTCTGAATTATAAAAACTAAATTTATGATCTTTATAACTTACCCAGTGTCTCAGGTATTTTTCAGTATCAGCACAAAATGAACTAAGAAACTGAGGAAACATTTCACTAAAACTTAAGCCTGTATAATGTCTAATTTTGAGAATATAAATTGAAGGCCAGCTAGTCATGTGGTAGTTAAGGTGGCTAGATCCCGCAAGGCCAACTTGATTTGAGTGCCCAGACCTGGTGGCTTGAAAAATATGCCAATAGCATGTGCGTGTGTGCCCAAAATCCCAAGAGGAGAGACGATTGCAGCAGTGGCCATATTGCTATCCCCCTGGGGTTACTTTCTCCCTTTCCTTTTCTTTTCTCTCTCTGGCAAGTACACATGTACTTACCCTATGGCAAAAAAAAATAAATAAAATTTAAAAAAGAACAGAAATTGGAATATAACACAACATTTCTTCAGTAAAACATTTTAATTCACTTTGTTTGGTTAGAGACCAGAAAACAAAGTACACATGGGAGTGGGGAAAAGGAAAGATAAGGTCTCAATCTGACACCCATGGTACCTTGAACCTTTATATCCACTGAGATCTTTGTCCATATCCAGTTCGGGAGTGGATTCAATGATGGCTTGAACTTCTGACTTCTCTTCATTTTCAGCAGAACCTAAAGAAAGGACATGATGAAATGAATAGTTATATGTTACATAGTGCACCAACATGAAAATCCTACTGCTTTTATGATTGCAAATATATCATTTTAATTAGAAAAAATATAAAAGTGTGGATACCAGGAAACACAAGATTAGTTAATATATCACAATTAATTTAACAGTCAATATCAGAAAATGGTAAATAACCAAAGTTTTCATTTGTATTTCTTGGGACACACAGTGTAATGTAGCCAAGGATGTGCCTTCATTCCCCTTTGGGGGTGTGATATAGAGAAACTAATGACAAAGAGTAATGAGCTACGCAGGGGACTGACAAAGACTAACCTCTTCTCAGGTTTTCTAACCTCCTAGACCCCAGCGTTTTAATCTCCAAAGTATTATCTAACCATTACCTCCTTTCGGCTTATTTACTATGAAATACAACAAATTATCTACATATTTTATAAATCTAAAGCAGACAACAACCTAGACATTTTCTCACAACTGCATCATCTGGGTTTACCAAATATTTCGTCACTAACTAAAGACATAGGATCACTTACCTGTAGAAACATTTCTAGTTTCTTGGGCTACCTGTACTTCAATGTGCTTGCTGATTTCTAACTTATTTGGCGTATCTGTAACCTTCACAAATCCTTCAGTATCCTCCTTTAAGGGAGTATCAGGGGGAATTATTGCCACATCTGAATTAGTAGTTGATGCTGGAGTAGTAGCCTTAGATCCACCTTGGCTAACATCAGAAAGTTCATCCTATAAGTAAAAATAATTAACAAAAAAGTTTAAACTGAGTAATTTATTCTAAACAACTTTATAATGGGTTAAGGACTCGCCAGTGTAGTGGTGGTTAAGATGGTTGGATCTCACATGGCTGACTACATAGTTCAAGTCCCAGACCTGACAACTTAAAAATCATCCTGGGGCACATGTGCATGCATACTCAAAATCCTGAGAGGAGAATGGGAGAGAAGGGATTGCTGGCATAGCCATCCTCACAGGGGGTGGATTTCGCTTGCTTGCTCACTCTCGCTCTCGCTCTTGCTCTCTCTCTGGTGAGCACATGAGCCCAGTAGCAAAACAACACAACAATAAGAAGGGTTAAGATGAACTTTTCCCAGGGGACCAGCAGTTAGCGTAATGGCTATGTCGCTGGACTCCCACATAGTCGACTGCGGTTCGCATCCCAGACCTGGTGGCTTAAAACTCACGTTGGGCACGTGTGCGTGCATGTCCAAGATCCCAAGAGGAGAATGGAGGAGAAGGGATTGCAGCGTGACCACCCCCCCTGGGGGGGTGATTTCTCACTTTCTGACTCTCTGTCTCTCTCCATCTGTCTGGCGAGCGCACGCGCCCTATAGCAAAAACCTCTCAAAAAAAAAACAAAAAAAAAAAAGATAATTTAAACAAAACAAAAAAAAAAGATAAACTTTTCCAGAGAAAGTTCTATTTTTTTTTTTTTTTTAAGCAAAAGAGGGCACGAGAATGGGCAGTGGCACTGGAATCCTAAGTGGCTGACTGTTTTGAGTCCCGAATCTAGAGGCTTGGAAATCATGCAGACAAGTGTGTATGCATGCCCCCAAATTCCTAGAGGAGAATGAAGGAGAGATTGCAGCATGGCCATCTTCCCAGAGAGCCATTTCTCACTTTCCTTTTAACTGTATGTGCATGTACTCTATCATGAAGAAAGGCAAAGAATTTTTTTAAAACTGGCAACTACTATACTAAGGTCTACAGATACGCTTCAAGAAGTATGTGCACAAATTGAAATTAGAAGCACAAATTCATGTACAATACATTTTTCGGAGAAAAAGAATCTACAGCTTTTATCAGATTTTCAAAAGGGTTTGTGACTCCAAAATATTTAAAAATTGCACAATGGCTACCAATAATGAAGCAGATCTTTCAGATCAAGTACCTAAGTCTATTATTTTATAATTATTTAATTTTTTATTCACTTATTATTAATTTTTTAAATTTTGCTATAGGGCACACATGCTAGTCAGAGAGAAAGAGAGACAAAGAGAGAGGGGAGGGGCCAGCAGTTGGTGTAATGGTTATGTCACTGGACTCCCATGTAGTTGATTATGGTTCGAGTCCCAGACCCAGTGGCTTAAACTTGTACCAGGCGCGTAAATAAATAAATAATCTTTAAATAAATAAATAAATAAATAAATAATATATAAGGTATAGTCCCAAAGTTTTAAGAAGTATATAAAATGACTAAATGTAGTTAGTAAATTTTTTTCTTCCCTATAATACTTTTTATTCTTTCCAAACTTTCTAACAGGCATGTGCTATGTTTGGAAAAAGTAGGGCTGGCCCAGTAGTGCAGTGGTTAAGCACTGTGCATAAGGAGCCAGGTCTCACATGACTAATCGCTGTTTAAGGCCTGGCCCCAGTGGTCTGAAAAATTCATCAGGTTCCTAAGTAATTTGAAGTTGATTATGAACCTGTCATTTATCTCTTAAATAAAGTAGAGAAAATATTTCTTTTTTCTCCTTATCATTCCAGCTCCCATCCTATAAAAAAAGTCTGATTATTTTCAATTTCCAGTTTTTTTACTTGTAATTAAAGAGTTCATGATATACCGTAGTTTGGGAAAAGTTCACCTTTCCAAATTAATTCATGGATCTCAGAGTATAAAATAAAATAACCAGGAGAGGGACCAGCAGTTAGCATAATGGCTATGTCGCTGGACTCCCATGTAGTTGACTGTGGTTCGCGTCCCGGACACGGTGGCTTAAAACTCACGCCGGGCGCGTGTGCGTATGTGCCCAAGATCCCAAGAGGAGAACGGAGGAGAAGGGATTGCAGCATGGCCATCCCCCTGGGCGGTGATTTCTCGCTTTCTGTCTCTCTGTCTCTGTCTGGCGAGTGCATGTGCCCTTTAGCAAAAACCTCTCCAAAAAATAATAATAATAATAACCAGGAGATAGCTGAACCTAAAATGGAGAAAGACTGATACCTCAGGGATTTCAAGGTCTCAGACTGCAAGGAAGAGGTAAATTAGGATCTACTTAGAAGGAAATGGTATTTTAAACTTATCCCAGGCTATTCAAAAGACATGAGTTTTATATGCAACTTACTTTCCTCCTATACTTTTACCACATAAAAATATTTCAGCCCTCTCTGAAATAGCTCACTGTGTAGGCTGTGCTTGTGACACTGGATCCCAGGGAGACAGCATAAGCTCCGGGGAGGAAAATGCTCTTTATTTTAGGGGGACAGTTTCGAGAAGAGCTTTCTTCTTGGTCTCTCAGGCAGTAGTGACAAGAAGCCCCTAAGATTGGCAGAAAAGCACTTAGATGTGAAGTCTTTGCTACAGCATTTGGCCAGGGGCACAATATACTTGAGTTGTGTCCCTTATGAAGGAAATTAAGAAATTCAGTCACTAACTGCCTCTAGCTAATGATAGCATGGATAAAATCCTAAATATCAACTTGTCAAAATGTAGTACTTTTAGGAAGAGCAACTGGCATAATAGCTATGTTGCTGGACTCCCATGTAGTTGACTGTAGTTTGAGTCCCAGACCTGGTTGCTTAAACTCATGCCAGGCACGTGAGCATGCGTGCCCAAGATCCTGAAAGGAGAATGGAGGAGAAGGGATTGCGGCATGGCCATGCCCTCTGGAGGGTGATTTCTCGCTCTCTGTCTGTCTTTCTCTGTCCTTCTGCTGAGTACACACACCCTATAGCTTAAACCTCTCCAAAAAAAAAGAGAGAAAGAGAGAAAATTTATTACTTTTGGACAATAGTAAGCTTACTAGATAATGTTTGAATAAATACTGGGTTACCTGTACAATGGTGGTCTCTAAGAATATAAGGGAACTGAAAAATGCCCACTGCCTAGTGCTGTCCCAGTCTTCATAATGCCACATCATAGTGCAATGTGCTGATGTGGGTATAAACAAAAAACCACTGAGCTGCTAGTCACATAGAACTAACACATACGTACATAAAGCTTGATAGTAAGTGACTAGGTTACTGGTTTTTGTATTTACTATACTATACTTTTTATGACACCTTCTACCTTACTTTTTAAAAAAAGTCTGAGGCTAGACAGTGACCACTATGGTAAAACAACACAGAAATCTGTGGGGCCATTGGCCAGTCCATGGCATGGTTGTTAGGGTGGTTGGATCCCATATGGCTGACTGTATGGCTTGAGTCCCGGACCCAGTGGCTTGAGAAACACACTGGGCACATGTGCTTTTCAAGCCACCATAGGCAGGACTTGAACTCTGGTCAGCCATGTGGGATCCAGCTTCCTCTGTGCAGCATTTAACCACTACATTATGGGGCCAGTTCAAGATGTCTTTCTCAGTGGCATGTATGAATGCCAAACACAGAGAATTACACAGCTTTTGAGTCTTTGACAAGGTTACTTCTGTCACCCCATTTTCCCCTTTAGAGTCTTTAAGGAACTGTCACATTGTAGGCTGTACATATCACTGGAGAATGCCACAAACAGCAAGGACCAGATTTGGAATTGTAGTATTAGAACTATAAAGGAATGGCATGTCTGTGTCTATTTAAATTGTACTATTTTTTAAAAAAGAGACTTTTTGTTATAGGATCCATACACTTGCCAGAGAGACAGAAAGTGAGAAATCATCCCCCAGGGGAGCTGGCACCCCATAATTCCCTCTCTTCCATTCTCCTCTCAGAATTTTGGCCATGTAAGCATACACGCCCCGGCGTGAGTTTCAAGCCTCTAGGTCCAGGACCCGAACTGTAGTCAGCTGTAGTCCACTGACGTAACCATTACACCATCTGCTGATCTAGGTTGTACTTTTAAAAATAGATGTGATTCGGGGCCAGCAGTTAGCGTAATGGCTATGTCGCTGAACTCCCATGTAGCCAATCGCAGGTCGGGTCCTGGACCCGGTGGCTTAAACTCATGCCAGGCGTGTGTGCGTGCGTGCCCAAGATCCCAAGAGGAGAATGGAGGAGAAGGGATTGTGGCGTGGCCATCCCCCCTGGGGAGTGATTTCTCGCTTTCTATCTTTCTGTCTCTCTCTCTCTCTTTCTGGCGAATGTATGCACACTATAGCAAAAATCTCTCAAAAAAATAGATGTAATTCAAAGATTATATACAAATATATAAAGTACATGAGATATTCAATATCACTAATCCTCAGAGAAATGCAAATCAAGACCACACCTCACTTCCATTAGAATGGCTGTCAAAACTATAATAAAAACAGCGTCGGTGAGGATGCAAAGAAATGGAAACTCTAATGTACTGCTGGTAGAAGTGTAAAATGATATAAACTGCTCTGAAAAGCCACATGGTGATTCCTCAAAATATTAAAATAGAATTATCATATTGTCTAGCAATCTGACTTCTAGGTATAAATATTAAAAAGTGAAAGCAAGGCCTCAAAAGGGATATTTGTATACTCACATTCGTAATACTATACAAAAAAGCCATAGGTGTGTAATAGGGTACACCAAATGTCCATCAACAGAAGATTGATAAACACAGTATAGTACATACATACCACGGGGTATTATTCAGCAATAAAATGGAAAGAAATCCTATCCCATGCTACAACACAGATGAGCCTTGACATTACACTAAGTGAAATAAGCCAGTTCCCGAAAGAATACAGTCATGTGCTGTTACTGGATCAACGGTGGGCCACGTACTGGAAAGTGGTCCATAGGACTGTAACAGGCTCCACCATATGCCTAGGTGTGCAGTCGGTTATACCATCTAAGTTTGTGCATAGTTTATTATGCTCACACAA